TGTTATATTTATTATATTACATTGAATTATATTATATTATATTACATTACATTGAATTATATTATATTATATTATATTATATTATATTATATTATATTATATTATATTATATTATATTTTTTTTCCCTTCCCAAGAAAAATTTCCGCAGAAAATGCTCAGGGATTTCAAAAACAACTGGAAATGAGGATTTGTGAGGGGGCTGCAGGCACAACTTGCCCCAAGCCCTGCTGAGGGGCTGGAGACACATCCAAAGGTGCTGCTGGGAAGTCCCAGCTCTGTGTCCACATCTCTGCCTCCAGACAAGTGAAATTTGTATTTAAGGCATGAAATAACAGAACTGAACCCAGATCTTGCACCCGGAGCAGCACCGGGGGTGTGGCTGCACCCCAGAGCATCCCTGCTCCTGCCTGGGGAGGCTGTCAGCCCCTGCAGCCTGGGAGAATCCCAGAAAATCCCAGAAAATCCCAGGAAATCCCAGAAAATCCCAGGAAATCCCAGAAAATCCCAGGAAATTCCAGCAGAACTACCAGGGATGGCTGGGGTTTGCGGGGTGTGCCTCTCATACAGAATCCTAAAACTGGAATTGGCCCTAAATCCCATCCAGTGCCAGCCCTGCCGTGGCAGGGACACCTCCCGCTGTGCCAGGCTGCTCCAGGCTGGCCTGGGACACCCCAGGGATCCAGGGCAGCCCCAGCTGCTCTGGGAATGCCACCCAGCCCTGCCCACCCTGCCAGGGAGCAATTCCCACTTGCCAGGATCCCACCCAGCCCTGCCCACCCTGCCAGGGAGCAATTCCCAATTGCCAGGATCCCACCCAGCCCTGCCCTCTGGCAGTGGGAGCCATTCCCTGCGTCCTGTCCCTTGTCCCCAGTCCCTCTGCAGCTCTCCTGGAGCCCCTTCAGGCCCTGGGACAGGCTCTGAGCTCTCCTTGGACCCTTCCCCTTTCCAGGTGAGCAATCCCGGGTGTCCCTGGATCCTTGTGAGCCCCCCCCAGGTGTCCCTGGATCCTTGTGAGCCCCCCAGGTGTCCCTGGACCCTTCTCCTCTCCAGGTGAGCCCCCCCAGGTGTCCCAGCCCAGCTCCATCCCTGCAGCATCCCCCGGGCTGCTCCAGCCGCTGCTGCTGCGGGACCCAGCTCTGAGGAGGGGGCTGCGAGCCCAAATCCAGGACCCCCCGGGACCCCCCGAGCTCCCCCGGCCCCGGGGATCGCCCCTTTCCCCTCCCCGGCCGCGCGTCCCCGGCCCGGCTGCTCCGCGACCTTCGGGCTCTCTCTTGTGGCTGCTCAGCCCCGCTGCAGCCTCTTCGCCGCCGGGCCGAGCCCCCCGGGCCCGTGTCCCCTCACCGGGGTCCCCGGCAGCCGCTCCCGTGTCCCCACGCTCCCTCCCTGCCGTGGGAACATTCCCCAAATTGGGAAAAGCGCCCGGGCAGCGTGGGAGCGGCACTGTCCCCGCCGGGGGCTTCAGGGCTGTCCCCATCCCGCGCTCTGGCTGTCCCTCCCAGTCCGTCCCGGTGCTCCCTGTCCTTTCCAATCCATCCCAGTCCCTCCCAGTGCTCCCAGTCCATCCCAGTCCATCCCAGTCCATCCCAATCCGTCCCAGTCCATCCCAGTGCTCTCAATCCATCCCAGTCCTTTCCAGTCCATCCCAATCCATCCCAATCCATTCCAGTCTGTCTCAGTCCGTCCCAAACCATCCCAGTCCATCCCCATCCATCCAAGTGCTCCCAGTCCATCCCAGTCCCATTCCCACTCCATCCCAGTCCCTGCAGCAAGCAGAGCCCATCCCACCCCATCCCATCAACCCCATCCCATCCCATCCCATCCCATCCCATCCCATCCCATCCCCCCCCATCCCATCCCATCCCATCAATCCCAGCCCATCCCATCAATCCCATCCCATCCCAACCCATCCCACCCCATCCCATCCCATCCCAGTCCCTCCCAGAC